GAATGGAAGGTGAGAGGCCTATTTGTCAAGAACAGCTGTCATTTGATTGGACTACTGTATATTGTGAAGTGACTGTACTTCATTCCATACATCGTGGGACTATTCTGTTGATATATCAGAATAAAATTCAGGGGAAGTTTTAACACTTGGAGTTGAAAACTTTAGTAGTAGATACTAAGCAAGCTAACTGAAAATGTTCTAAGAACTTTTTAAAATGCTGATAATGCAGACTGACATGATACTGAAAGTAAAATTCTATTAATGTATTATCCACCCCTCCCACCTTTTCTTTCTTGTGAAAATATGCATATGCTATATGCATTGTTACATTCCACCCAAGAACTCTAGGTTTGATTTCAGGAGACCAGACTAGATCCATGAAGTACTGAAGAACTGTGTTCAATAATAGCCAACAAGCTGATAAATTTGCATGCTGAAAGCAGGCAAGAGAAAACTTGAAAAGAAGGCTATTTAAAACCCAGGCTCTGAGACGCAGTTGATTCAGAACACTTGATATGGAATGTAATCCAAAAGGTGATACCTTCTATCAGTAGCTTATTGTTTCAGTATGTAATTGCTAATCTGTTAGCCATATCTTTTTGGTGAAAAGGTACCGTTTACCTTCTGAATTCTTCTGCTTTTGTAGACTCCTTCTAACACTGACAGAGGAGGATTTCACAAAAGAGCCTTACAGTATAGAGAACAGTAACCATAGAAAAGCTATTATAGCAGAACTGGAATGTGTGAAGACTTTAGGTGTTAAACCACCACAGAACCTTTGGGAATATAAGGTAAATTCTATATAATGTATGTCATGTATATTAAGTATTTTTAAAATAATATCTTTAAAAGAATATTCTCTTAAAGCCAGGAGGAGTGTTAAGGTAGTAGAATTACCCTTGTAATAACTGCTCAGTTTAATGAACTGTTGTCTTTGAAAAATGGTCACAAAAAAATCTAAGAACTGGCATGTGCCTTTCATTTTATTTTTCCTTTGTTTGCAACTTGATAATTTGATACCTTTCAGGCAGTAAATCCAGGAAAATCACTCTTTCTTCTGTATGCACTGAAGAGTTCTCCAAGACTCAGTATGTTATACCTGTATTTGTTTGATTATGCAGAAGTTTTCCAACCTTTCATTCACACAATTTGCCCTACGCAAGACAAGTATGAAGATACTGTCACAAAACTACTAGTAAGTATTCTAAACATTAAATGTGCTACTTGCTTTAGTTATAAGCATTTTAAGACTAGCAGCATAAAAACCCATGATGTAATTATTCATAATTTAATCTCATTACAATATAATTTTAAAAAGTGCTACAAAGTGGTTCCTTGATTTTATTGTATGTGATCACCAGTTTTGCGACCACTACCTTTAATAAGATTGATTTAAGGCTTTTAAGACTTTAAATCTGCGAAACTGATTTTTTTGAAGTTCATGCAACTATAGAAAGATTGTTCACTGAGAATACCTGTATTTTAATAAATGGCATTATAAGGTCTGTCTGCCTGTGACGTTTTATTCTAATCTAATGGAAATTACTGTGTTACAGTATTATCTACCAGAAAGTATGGTAATGATGAATTACTGCTTTCAATGTATGAAAAAAACAATGTTTTTTCAACAAGAATGTAGTGGAAATAAGCCAGTATTGTATCTGTTTGATAGGAAACAGATTAACAGTCTTTTTGTCCTAATTTACAGGACCTTAAAGATCCTTCTTGGAAACAGTGGAGAGAATTCATTGTCAAGTATTTATTTTTGCCATACCAGTTGATAGCTGAATTTGCTTGGGATTGGCTGGATGTGCACTACTGGACATCAAGATTTATAATTGTAAATGCCATGTTGCTCTCTGTTCTGGAATTATTCTCTTTTTGGAGGCTCTGGTCAAGAAGAGAATTGAAGTAAGTCTTACTGATCTTGTTGAAGAGGGTAGGAAGTACATGGCCTTATAAATAGACAGTAACAGTCTTACAATTTCACAGTTGCTCACTGAAATGACAGTGTCTAACCACAACTCTGAGGTTAATAAGAACATGTGAATCTGAATCCGCACATACACTAGTGCTCTTTAATATCTTTATTTCTGTGAATACTTGAAAGTGTTTCTTGCAGCTGCTTTTACTGATTAGACGTAGCAAATGCAGTAATGGTAATAAGCATGTTGTTAACCACTGGGTAAATAATTAACTCTTACCTTTAAAATTGCCTTTTATGGTTATTAGCTGTCAGCTGAGAACTAAATACATAAGAATTTTGTCATGATATGCTTACAATATACTTACTAAAGGATGAGTCCTCAGGATCATAAGCTTAGTTACACTTACTTGGTAGGTGATCAAAATGACTGTTTTCAGTTACTGCTTTAGCCTTAATTCAAGCATATTACTTCATAATTGCTGTGATCTTTTATTTATAGTTTTTAGAACTTTGTAGGAGAAATTCTTGTTTCGGTGTATGCTGGGTTTTCACTGGCCAGCGGCTAGGGGGCAGAACATGTTCAAAAGAGAACAGGGTACATGGGAAAAATCTATGACAAATCTGGAATTTGACCACTTTAACTTGCTGTGCTTTGTGGTCTGAATAAATTGACTTAATGCTTCCTCACATAAAATCTAGGATTACCGTATTTTAGGAAGGTATTTTTTGAGAGCAAAATGATGTTTTACAGGTACCTGAGTAAGGGCTAAATAATTTGAAGCCACAGCACGTCCTAGCTTTTCTTAGAATGGGTAAAAACAAAACGGAAAGTGCATCTAAAGCCTCTCCCTTTCCTTTTTCACAGGACTATTCCTCACAGAATGTGGAGACATTTCTGGAAGGTCTCAACCCAGGGTCTTTTTGTTGCCATTTTTTGGCCTTTTATTCCTCAGTTTGTCTGCAATTGTTTGTTTTACTGGGCCTTGTACTTTAACCCAATTATAAACATTGATCTTGTGGTTAAAGAAGTAAGACGTCTGGAGACACAAGTGCAGTGACTGGCATTGGAATTTTTGAGCTGTTTAGCTTCTAAAAATGGACATTTGAAATAAGCTTTGCTTTTTTTTTTCTTTATATATGTGGCAGTGAAAGTGGTGGATTATGTTAACTTAAACATACAGAAAAGCCTTAAGGTAAGTTACTGTTAAACCAGCTGATTCCAAATCTGAGGATGGGCTTTAATATCCAAAAGGAATTTTCTATTGTGGAAACAAAAAATTACATTCCTGATTTAGCCATGTAAAACTTACACAGTCATGTCACCCTACTTTTGATCAAATCAAACTTCTCTATTCTGTCTTGAGCATTCTGGTTGTTTTCAAGCCTGCCTTAAAATCAGTGTCTTCTGAACAGCTTTCATACCAGCAATGTGTTCCTCAATTTAAGTTTGCCAAAGGAAAAGTCTTCTTGGATAGGCTTGATATTGAAAGTACCTAGTGTTTTCAGCCTACTTTATGTGTAAAGTTGTGACAGTCAAACAACACAGTGTCACAGTAGGGTTTGTTCTAAAATTCCCACGGTTGAAGGCAAAGACTGCTTGAGTTTTCTTGTCTTTTGGAAAATGTGGTGATTGCCATTCAAAATTTTTTATTCAGATCAGTCAGACTTCATCAATAGCTTCTTTAATGCTCTCCACTTGAAGTCCGTTGCCAATTCTTAAATTCAGGGTTATCTCTTAAAAAGGATTATTTTGGAAAAGTGATCTGACACTGTAATTACATCTTATACACATTATATTGCAGTATCTAGATCTGTGAGCGAATATTGATTGGAAAGGTATTTTGCGTAAACAGGATTCTCACTGTTGCTTCAGTCAAAAACCATATATTAAAAAGTTAGATTTTTTCCAAGAGCGTTGTCCCCTTGCATTCTATATTGGTTTGGGGTTTTTTCTTCATTTGTATTATTAAACTTCAAATTTGCCTCTGAATAGTTTTAAAGATTAAAGGTTTCTTTTGAAATTTTTATCCTTCCTAAAGAAGTGTTTTGATGTTTGGATTTTATTTTTTTTTTTAATATCAAAGTACTGGTCATTAGATTTGACTTGTGCAAACTTGTTCTGTAGCCCTGCATCTTTAAATAAGTTGAGGTGGGTGAAAGTAGACATAAAATGCTTCTGGTTCTTCAACTGCTAAAATTAGCAGTTACAAAAAAAGTGTATTATTCAGCAATTTGTGTTACTGATTTCTGTTCCTAAAAGGTTTGATAAAACTGAAGTGACCCTGGCTAAAACCATCTTGACATCCTTATGAGGTGTATACACTTCTGAACTCTGCAAACTCACACTGTCCAAGGTGAAACACTAATGGGAAAGGCCATTGGTCCCAGTGACTGCTACTTTTTTCATGTATCTTTCTTGGTGATGGTTTGCATTTGCACTTTTAAATCTAGCTCTGAAGTTTTAAGGGTAGAACTTCTCCCTGTGGCCGCAGGAAACTCAGGGTTGTACATAGAATAAGGAGCTTGAGCCATGTCAAATGAACAACTTCTTAGAAAACTGTATTTAAGTAGTAAATACTAGAAAAAAAGCATTATATTGGGCATTTTTTAATACAGGTAGGACTACTTAAGGTGAATGAGATGCAAAAGTTAAGTTAGGCTTCATAATAAGTGTTTAATATAGATGAGAGGGCTTTTTGTGCTGACACTGTCACTTTATGCATTTCTTCCAGTCAGTTCAAAGTTAACAAATGTTAAGGTAAAAGTTAGTGGAAAAGTTTGATCCATATCTTGTAGTTGGTGGACGGGGTATGAAAAGTTTACAGTGTATGATACTATGAATCTGAAAAATCCGTGAAACTATATAACCAAAATTAATTTTAAGTCAGCTACTCCTTAATCTGATTAAACTTAAATTCCTATTTAGTCAATAAAAGCTTATACAGAACTAATGAACTTGCTTTTAGTCCATGCTCTGTAGAAGATAAATAAGAAGATAAATATTTACTTTGGCCATTCTAGGGTGGAGAGGGTGAGGTGGCAGGAAAGAGGATCAAGAAAGGGCAACTGTGACAAAACAAAAAGTCATTTTAGATTTAAATATATATGGAGTTTTCATAAAGGCTGATATCATAGATCTAATACCTACACAAAGGCTGAATCTCACCACACATAAAGTCTGGCCACAAAAGGTATTTTGTATGATAGGGAGCTTTAGAAAAACATTTGGCAGCTTCACGGTCACATTCACATGCCATTTTTTGACATTTGTCTTCTAGTGATTCTGAAAGAAAACATAGTAAGTTTGATGTTAGCCTGAAGTAATTAAAAATACCAAGAATTGCTACCTCATGTTCCATATTTGCCATATTCATGGCTCTTGTATTTCAAGTGCAATAGGAACCGTACTGAGCTTTAAGACTTACAGTTCTTTCGTCATGCTCTTTAGACAGGGCTCCCTGCTAGGACATCTTGGCAACAGAGAATATACAAGCATGGTTTGGTTTAGCAATAATTGGTAATCAGTGGAACTATCTTGGCAGGTGAAAATACAATGATTTGATGAAGACTTACATACTCCTCTTTAAGAAAGGAACTCTTACCTGAATCCTCTTTAGAAGGTGGTATGTGACCCTCCCTGCCTGCACTGTTGCTCTCGTGAATCTTGCGTTTGGGAGGATACTTTCCATTTCATGCTTTAATCTACTCGAGGATGTAGCATTAAAATTATATATGTGAAATAAGGGATGCAAACATGTTCCATGTGCAGCTCAGATCACCCACCTTTTTTTATTAAGGCATTCAGTAAGAAGTTAGGTAAATGTGTTTAAGCATGATAAAATACATGTCTGGCCATATTTGTTTTATAATTGTAGTGTTGTAACTTAACAGATTTCTTGGCGTGAACGTTTCTTCTTGGCATGAACATTTTCTCCTACAGCAATATATTTTGGTTTTATTGTGCCAACCCAGAAATGTGTGTTTTTTTCTCTCTACAACTGTCTGTAAACTGAAGAATCCTTGGTTATATTTTGTCTGAGTATTTAACATTTTGAAAGCTTAGCCGAATCTCTGCTTGATTTGTCTAGGAGCAGAACAATTGTTCAATTCAACAACAATTGTTCAACAACAAATTGTTCAGTTTTTGCGAATGCACTCAAATTCTGCTATGAAATGGAAGTGTTTTTTATATATATATATATATATATATATATGGACACTGCAGCCAGCTACCCTAAGAACTACTGAATAGTGTAAGTAGCATAAACAACATGCTAAGATTAAAAGCCCCTAAACATTAACTGAGAAGAATTATTCCTTCTCTTATTATTGCTCCAAACTTAATCTTCTCCATGGTACGCGAGGGACTTTATTTCAGCTTTGTTTCTTGACAAAGTTACAAGGACTGTAACTTGACAATTAATTAGATAGTTTGAGACAGAAGATGTTTAGTCCTTCTGGAGCAGAGGAGGAAATTAGCAAGTAGAGATTCTGCATGAGGTAGACGCTTGGGCAAAATAAAGGTTGAATGAAAAGTAGGAAAGGAAATAGCGTCAAAAACTTTCATTTGATTTCAGGTCAGGCAAATTCTAAGTTGAGTTACGAGAGGGTTTTGTGTTTTCTCTGGCCTACTGTGTCGCCTTTAAACTACGGTAGTCAGAAACTCATTGTTATAAACAAGTTTATGTAAGGGTCTGCTTTTTTGTGATGCAAATAATAACCAGTTCTCAAGCTGATTTGCTTTCTAGGTGGTAGCATAAAATTACATGCAAAGTAACTGACATAGCACCTGATTTAGGACAAACAAACAAAAACCCCAAACAACACACAAACCAAACACAACAACAACCCGACCAAAAAAAGACAAACATCTCCCACCCCCCAAGCCTAACAACAATAAGAAAAAACCCTGCAAATTTTGGGGGCTTGTGAGTTTCAAAAAGCCTTTGAAGTGTATTGGAAAATATTTGCTAAAATGGTGGGAGTTGAGAACAAATAATATAAAAGAAATGCTGCTTTTTCCTGTCAAACAATTTTTGTCTTGTTTCTTTGAGGTCTCTTTGTCCTTCTCTTTTATACTACAGCAAGTATATACATTCATATTTCAGAGCAATTGAATAAAATTTATCAGGATGTGGTCAGCCATCTGTTGTAATTGTACACTAATGTAAATATTTTCAAATTGACATTTTATGGCTTGTGGACACTTTACTTCCATAAATAAACATACTAATCAAATATTTTATTACCTCAGTGTTTGAAATTGTAAGTTGTAATTGAAAATTCATTCATAAATTGCAGCCACTAGCAGTGGGCTGTGCAACCCATCAGTGGTAAGTATGCCAAAAACTTGTCCATCATAAACTTACAAATGACGTGAAATATTTTCTGCTAAGTATAGGAAGGTTCCTATTTAAAAAAACGTAATTTTCTTGCCTCCTGTTTGTAGTTGCTCTCCAGTTTGAGACCTGAAGGGAGTAGCATAACATGGGTTCTTCAACATACGTAAATGCCAAGTAAAAAGAGGGGTTTTTTTGGTGTTTTCTGAAAGGGCAATAGAAGCTTTGTAGATAGGAATTTTGTTTGCTTATGTATGTCAGTAGGTGGGGATTAAGAAGAAGAAACTGCATTCAGTTGGTTAGCATAGCTGTGCTTTTTGGAGGCACAGCTTACGCTGGCAAAAAAAGTCACAAAAGGAAGGATGGTAAAGTAAGAATTTTACAGTTAATGAAGAAAAGTCTTTCTATGAAGTCAATGAGACAGTAGAAGTAAAAAACCAAGCAAAAAAAAACCCAAAACACCAAACCCAAAAAAACCCAACTAGAACTGTTCACTCACCACACACAGCAGTGTTGTCTTCGCATTCCCAGTGGTAACTTTCTATCTTTGGGTGACAACCTGCTTGTTCTGCCTTACCATAACAGCAGTCATGGTTAAAGCAGCACCTGAGAGTAACAGAAATGGGCTTGCCTTAATTCATACGGTGGTGATTTATGGTCACATAATCTGGGTGGTTTTTATCAGCGTGTTTCTACAGGCTGTGAAATAATAAAACAGTCAACGTATGTGAATGTATAAACAGGTACCTGCTCAGGAATCAAAACCGGGTAATAGCTCACTTGGAAGTAATTATTACTCTTTCATGTAATCCATGATGATGAAAATGTCCAATACACATTGATCTAGTTTAGCTTCCTTTCAGATGAAAATACAAGGAATCTTTAATGCATTCTTAGTTTTAAACACGGTAAACTCTTATGTGGGTATGCCTCTCTCCTCGTGCCTTCCAAGAAGAAATTAAATGCCAGAATAGTCTGTCAGATAATGAATGATGTGTTTTTCTACCAGTTACTGATGCTATTGTAACAGTTACTAACAGGGAAGGGACAAGAAGATTTGTTAGGCTGTAGCATACTATCATAAATTTCATCTTACAGCAAAGTCCTTAGTTGGTGGCAGAAAAGCTGAGAGCAGGTGAGATGTTCGGTAATGAATAGGCACGGGTGCTGTTTAATGCCATAATATAACTAAAACTGCTAAAACTGCTCAGTATCATGAGAAAATTTGGAAAATTGTCCAAAGTGATGATTTCAAAATTGTTCTTGTCACAATTGGGACAATGAATTCATAGACTTTCTATCACATTGTGGAACTGAACAGTACAGGTAAGTATTAATGCCATATTTTAATGTTTAAAAAAATAACTACTCTTCTGGTGTTGGAGTCATTGAAAGCCCAGAACAGCAAGTAGGGGAGCTAACAAGGACCTGAAATTAGATCACAAATTTTAAGTTTTTGCTGCAAACTAACTATACTCCTTTTTTGACTGTGCAGAACAGGGTGTATTCACAAGCTCTTTGTTTCCTCCTGGTAGCCTAAAACCGTCATATTACAGTAGGCACATGGTGTTTAGATTGCCTGAGGAATTTGTGTGTGCAGTAGAAAAAGTTAATGCTGTGAGCTCTCACTTGCAATTACTGTTTTTTCCTATGCTTATTAAATAATTACTTGGTAATTCCAAATGAATCGCCATTTGAAGATCCTGCGGTACGTAACAGTTGAACAGCACATGCCCATGAAGTAGCTCAATACATCCATTTCATGCACAGAAATAAATTAAAAATAATTCTAGTGAGTCTTTGTAGAAGTACTAAGGTAAATAAACCAGGAAATATGGCTTCTTTTGCCATAATGCACTATATCTTCCTGTGTTTGCAAAGTTTTTTAGAATTACTTTAGTCCTCTTTCAAGCATTTTAAATAAAAATAGATGCTTAAAGAATTTCTATTTTATCTCATAAAAGCAACATATGATTGTCTCCATTTGAAAGTTTGTAAGTGGCAGGCAAAAATCTAAATTGCAGTAACTGTTATTTGAATAATTCCATTACACATGTTCTTACTTCAGATGAAGTATTTCTGTATTTTCACTTAACCTTGTTTTCAGGCATAATTCTGAGTGTAAGCAGCCCACAATGTAGCTCAAAACGTCAAGAAATCAAACTTGGTAACAACGTTTGTCTCTACGTTCAATTGGTGCAATTTGTGATTTTGAGCAGGTGCAGTAGAGCAAGTACACTCACTTCTGGTTTGTTCTTAACATTCCGTAGCTATTAAAACCCAAATCACAAATAGCTAAACATGTTTTGTGAAGAAGCAGCTTCTTGCTACTGTGCGACTTCTACAAAGTGGAAAAAATGGCCTACAATGAACGATTGGAAAACTGCGGATTCTTCATCATGATCTTTAGATATACAGATGACCAGAACTAGTAAGAGTCCCTTCTTTTTGTATCTGTTCCCAGTCACTAAAGTAGCAAATACATTCTACAAAATGGTCTTTAAAATAAGAGATTACACGTCCAAAAACTTGAAATACATAGGCAAAGATTTGAAAAGTTTTAGGTCTAATCATGACTAGAATCTTTATGCCAGGAAAAAAAATCTCAAACTTTCCCTATATTCAACCCTAAATGTGAGTATCAGACATTTGTTTTCCTTTTAATTTACAATGTATGTCTGATAAGTCACAATTTGAGATGCTACATATGGTAGGGGAATGTATCATTATGATGATAAACTTGAAAATATAAAACCTTTCTTTAACTACTGTAACCAGAAAATCACCTTCCTGTGAGCTAATGTTCAATTATAAATCCAATTGATGGTAGTCAATATGCTGAGATTAGTACTACATACAAAGGTCTATTTTTTAAAATTATTTTAGTAACAATTCGTAATTCACTTTATTCAAAAGTTATTTTTCAACAAGTTGAATTTTGCATAATTTTCTATGTATTATTTTGAATACTAATAAAATGGGATGGATGGTAGTAGAAGGAAAAGCTTTTTCAATTGCAATTGTTTGTTTGTTTTTTGTAGATAGCTTGAATGTTTGAGCTTTAAAGCTTCTCCAAGAAGACTATAGTTTTTCAGCTCTTGGCCAAACAGCAAGAACAAAAAAACTCAGTTATGCTGTGAATCCAGTATTAATGCAATGAGAGTTTGAGTTAAAGGCAAGTAGGACTCACATAGAACTACAGTAACACAATTTTAATATTTCAGAGTTTCTTAGCAGTCTGAGCTGTGTTTAAACTCAGTTCCCTCACTGATGTTAAATAGGCCTAATTCATATTTTAGTCCTTTTACTTGGATGTCTGTATACGTTCAGCATTTAATGACTCCGATAAATAGTTACTCTTACCAGTCTACTCTGTCCTTGGGCCATCCTCTTCCTCCCAGACCACAGTAGCATCCATAACGTAGGTACGCAAAAGGCGATCGTCCTGTAGTACATCTGATGGCTCCAGCTAATTCAAGAATTCCTCTTCGATTTCTAAAATGGGCTTCCCCAAAAGTGCCTTTATAAACTGTGGAAGAAAAACTTTATTTTTTGTTGAGTCGAACATGCAGATACAAAACAGTGTTTTTTTTTTTAAACTCTGATTATGAATGTCAGTACTTGAAAAATACTGTTTTCTTTTTGACACTTTGGGGCCATGCTGGGGTATGAAGGGACTGGGGCAAGCAATCTATAGCGAGCAGAATACTGAACAACATTCTGAATAGCTGCAGTGGCTTCCTCTCATCAAGGCAGCACACAATGGCAGAGTTCAGTTGTTTCCAGTCTTAAAACTGGCAAGGACTAGCATGTGTTCTGTGGTCTAGGTCCACTAGTCTGCTAAGATTAGATGCCCTAAGTGTTGCCATATTTTCTCCTTACCATAACATGCAATTTTGCCGATGATGTTTTGTAGAATGTAATGCTTTATGAACAAATATGTCCTCTATGATGGGGCTCTGGTTTTCCTCATCTTTTAGACAAAGAAGCCAAATAACTGGCAGAGGTGGTGAGGTGGGTGTAGAGCAGGGAAATGGGCAGGTGCTTGGAGTCATTTCCAGGGAAATTAGAAGAAGCATTGCTTTTTTTTTTTCAGTTTCATTTTGTTTGGCTTTTGTTGTCGTTTAAGGGATTGTCACCATTATTTCTCCAGAACAAGGCTGTATTTAGAAACCCTATTTTAACTGACCCATGTCAGTACTAAAGCAGTAGGTCTAGGGCAGCAGATAAATGTTGAGACACTAGATGAATTTTTTGGGGGCTTCATGTCGTCCTTCAGGTTGAGCTAACTCATCAAAGACCCTTGATGGTAATGGGCAGCATTTCCTTCCAGTGCTGTCTCCAAGCTATTTGCGGCAAGTTCTAAGAAGTTGGTTGAGTACAAAACAAACTAGTGGAAAGCTGCTGATTAGAGTTGTCTTACTAATTAAACTTAATAATTATTTTTTTTTTTAATATGAGGAGAACAGTTTATAAACCTTAACTCCCAGTACTGGATATAGATTGGGAAAGACATTAACATTTAATAACTGATAATATCTGTGAGAGAGACAGCAGAAAAAATATTTAGACTTTGTCATTGAAGGCTTTGATATTTATTTTCCCATAGAATAACTATATGATAAAACAGTTTGTATATAATCTGTATAATCATATAATCTATTATAATAGACTAGCTAATAGATTAATCTATTATAATAGATCATATGATTAACTAGAATCAGTTAACGGAAGATCTGCCGAAAAATATTGTTCCCAGCACAGATGAGTAACTTGAAATGTGTGGGATGCTGGTGACCTCCAGCACTTGCAATTTCATGAAACAAAGGAATTTAAACACCTCATGAAATCACCTCATTAAGAACTAAAATTGGTTTGTATGTGAGAATAGAAAAAAAAGGCTTAGAAAGACTGTTTGTAGCTAATACTTACGAAAATAGCTAGGCTGCCTAAGAGAGTATTTAGTACTTTTCTATCTGGCGACTACTCCCAGATCTTGTTCCCTCCTGCCTTGTGACATTCTGCGTATTTCCAAATGTTTCCTGATTAAGGTATGTTTTTAAAATCTTTTGTGTGATTTTGTTTCTTTTTATGAAGACTTTGCATTTATCTTGATGGACAAGAGTATTCCTATAGGTTTGATTATGCATTCCTGAAAGGGTAGTGTCATCCCTCTGTCTAGTTTGGTTTTTGTCCTGCAGATTGTGTGCAGCTCTCTCAAACACAATATTGTGGGTAGGAAAAAAGGGGGAAATCAGACTGCATTTATTTTAATTTCATTGCTTTATAATGTGATTGAAAAAGTCAAAATCATATTGTTTTGGTATCTCAAGGTCACAGGAAGTAAGTACAACTAGGTGTAAAAAAATAATTTACAGTTAGACAATTTGAGTCGAGTCTTGTTATGGCTTTTACAATTCTTGTAATATTTAATTCCAGTGTTTATTGCATAATAGGAACTTTGTTAAAGTTTCAACTGTTCTCATTCTTGACAGAAAACTTTAAAGATGGATATTCTGGAGAGGAAAAAAAGACTTACAAGACATTAGTCCATCAGCAAACTCAGATTTAACTGTATGTGATGTAGCTGCTTAAAAAATAAAGGTTGGAAACCAGTGCCATACCAATCCTAAGGCTACTTTAAGTACCATAAAATAGCAGATGAGGAAAAAAAAAAAACCCAAACAAATCTATACAGTTGTCTTTGTGATTGTAATGACTAAGCCAGAGAGATCAAAAGCCATGAGGTGACTTTCTGAAGACTGAAATTAAGTAAACGCTAAAGACAGCCTGAGAGAAAGTAACAGTAAGTAATCACATTATATTTGTGTTGTGCGTGATTTTAAAATGGCAATTCCTGTTGCCCAAATTGGAGCCCTGCCATGGTTGGAGAGTTTGAACTTCATCATACCATCTTGGTTTGTTGCCTGTACAAGCAAGTTCAGATTGTGCTAAATGCTGTACATTATTATGTCTTTGCAAGATGTTTTCCACTATACCTTCCTACTCTTCTTTTTCCCTAGTTTTCTGAATAGCTTACATTAATATTTAAAAATCCAGTCCCTTAAAACTCCATATGCATAGAGGAAAAAACTCCACTTTTTAGAAACACATGAATTTTTTGTTGAAAGGTCATATTTCCCACAAAATTTAACTCTTTGCGATGGGCCCAATGCAAACATAATAATTATTTTTGCAGATACATAATTATATTTTTATTGAGATGCACAGCTTTGCATAATTATGATGTATAACTACATTAATCATTACCACCTAATACAGTCTATGATGTTTTGTGGATTTTAAAAGACATTTTAAGCCATTTTTTCAAAGACTGAGGCTACAGAAACATTTTTTGATGCTAAATATGTGTAAGATTTCCTATGGTGATATTTCCTTTGTCATAGTGCTCCAGTAGCTCAGAACTTGAAACTTGGGAATAAGCAGACTTTCTGATGCATCTCCAAGATCTTGCCAGAAGTGGAAACCTTTGAACTGTATGCATTATAGAAACAGTTTTGGCTTTTTTTTTCCTTAGATTTTTTTTGAATGCCCTTTTTCACCTCATCTTGTTGCCCAGACTACTGATGTGCTACCTCCACCAACTGTGGTCACACGTAAATATTTTGAAAGGATAAATTTGCCAGTTCTGATACTGTGGGCCAAGCATTGAGAAACAGGTAAATTGCATTTCCCTTCCTCCTCACTGCCTATGGAATGGGTGACTGTGATGCCTGACTCAGAGCTTTCGGACCAAAGGCAGGCTCTCTGTAATGACCACTCTAGGCTGGCAGAAGCCGTGAAAAAGTCTTTCATTGCTCTCCTTAATGTTCTTGCTGAGGTTTGTGCCATGCAAAGGATGAAGTCTGGAGGATGATCAAAATGCAGAAGGAATAATAGGGGCATGCTGAGGTCAGGAAGTAGAATTGGGGCAGTGAGCTTGGTGGGACCTTAAGTTGGCCCCATTATGCAAGCACCTTACCTTATGGTCTTTAATCACGTGATTGCCTTCCCCCCCCACCCCAGGCCCTGCTTCATTCTGTGCACAGAATCTGTTATAAGAATGAATTGAAGCTCTCGTCCTCAGGATCCTTCTATTTGCAAGACTTGGTTTGGTGAATTTGCAAGCTGTGTAGGAATGTACAAAAAAAAAATTGCAAGAAGACAAAATCTCTTCATTAAGGCAACTGAACGCTATTCTGGAAAACTGGATATTGTCCTTCCAGCTGTCATAAAGATTCAGCATGAGGTTAGTTTAATCACTTTAAGACAATGCCTATTGATGTTTACTAATAGCATGCTCCCAGCCTGCTGAATATCCTGAGGCTGGAGTACCAAACTACTGCAATACTCAGTGAGAGCCAGGCTTTGAGTAGTTGAAGTTCCACATAATTTTAAGTAGTCATAGGTAAAATCCAGTTCTAATGTGTCACCACGGGAACCTAAAATTAGTGGATGCTTTTTTTGTCAGACCACCTACCTATCTGAAAAAGAGGGATGATAGTATAGTTTCACAGAAGTGTGACAGAAGCAAGTACATTCAGATACTATACTGATGAATACCTCAGAAAACCTATGAGGAAATTATTACAACTGGTCTTTAATACTGTTAATAAATAGGACATAGACGACAAAAATAATTAAATACTTGCAAACTGAGTAGTCGGCTATGCTCAGGTATGAGGCAGGGGTCCTTTAATTACATTCTCACATAACTTATTCATAAAGACTGACTCATTCTTTCAGAATAACCCAGTTACGGTCTCGCAGGCAATCTCAGTTCTAGCAGTTTGTAGCTTTTGAACTGCTTTGCCACTTCGGTGCTCTGAG